TAAAACTGAAACGAACTTTTATGGTGGATTCAAAAACTAAAAGTTTCAAGAAAGAGATGAAAATATTGGATTAATAAATGGAATTGGATGATGATTTAAAAATTAAAAAAGATATACAAATAATAAGAAACAATGTGGATTATTTTCTTATATTGGAATATGAGGGATTTACTACACTGGAATTACAAAAGGACTTTGCCAAAGATAAAAATTTCGAGCGAAGAGAATACGAGAAATCAGATGTGAGAAATTTATTGGTTCACTTAATTATGGTTAAAATAATGGATTACTATCTCTGGTGATATCTAATTTTTTTTAATTGGGGCTGGAAAATGATAATTACTTTAGGTAATGTTTAATTTGCTGCAATGGATTTATTTGTAATACGTTATTTTTATACATTAATAATGGGTTACTATTTCTGGTGATGTTTAATGCTTTTTTTATTGGGACTAGATGTTTGTTATGTTTCTTTTTAATTAGGACTGGATTTTGCCTATTTGAAGAGAGGGATTAGGGGGAATTTGTTTAAATGGAAATAGAGATATAATATTTGTTATTTCTGATAACCCTTTCTGGACTTTTCTTGATTAAGAATGAGAGCCAAATATGTAGAGATGGGCTTATAGAAAAAGGGGTGAGGTATGGAAATATTTGGTTACATTTTAAGGCAGAGTGAAATTGTTAATGTTGATTATGCTTGCTGAGAATTTGTTTGGTTTTTCTTTTTTACTTCTTCTGTTTTGATTTTTCTCTGCACTTTGAAAAAATTTGTATATTATATAATTTAATATACAGTAATCCTCAAGAAAATTATGGAAAACAATTCCTCCTCCTCTAACAGATAATTAGATGTTACTACCCTTTATCATAGGTTAAATCAGTGTTTCTCAACCTTGACAATTTTCCACAGCATTGCTGGCTGTGGAATTCTGGGAGTTGAAGTCCACATGCTTTAAAATTGTCAAGGTTGAGAAACACTGGGTTAAATGATTATGAATACTGAAATGAATTATGGAACCATATGAAGATACTACCATTTTAAATTTTACCTCTGAATGAACATTTTAGCCAGTTTCCTGAAGCTAATAATAATTGTATTAATCTCAACTCTGATGCAATATATTCTACAGTTTGCTGAGACTCATAGAAAAAAAATAGTATCCAGGGCTGATATGAAAACTTTTATCTTTAGCACAGGCAGTGCTTTTTTTGTAAAAAAAAAAAAAAAAAGGTGCCGGAACTCACACATGTCATACAACCCGCCTTGCCTACCCTACAAGGTTACATCCAAAAAAGGTGCCGGAACTCAGTTCTGGCCATTCTATGACAAAAAAAGCCCTGAGCACAGGTATCCTCAAACCATTAGGAAGGCCATGGGAAATCATGTGGGTGGGAAAAAAAATAATCTTATACCTAGAAAATCTGTATCAGAAAGGTGTAAGATTAGGTTAGTAGCGTTATAAAAAAGGAGGGGGAATCTAATGAATACTCAGTCAGATTGCCATACCTATTAATAATGAACTAAATTTCAGAAATGAAATACTTTGGATCTTGGAATACAGGTGAAAGGTGAATATATGCTCTCTTCCAGACTAACAAGTTTGGGCAAAATCTAGCAAAAGGAACATGTTCAAAAATCTAAGGAATACATTTGAATACATAAATTATTATGTATTGTTATGCATACAATGTATACATCAAAACTATGATATAAAACATTAGGGTAATAGACTTTTAATATTAATTGTGGTAAAAGAATTGTGTTCACTGCTAGCTCCCTATTCTTGATTCCAGTATAATATACAGCACGCAGTCTCTGCATTTAAGGCAACTCCGGAAGTGGAAGTGTCCAGAGCACCACTCTGTTCTATTTTATTGCATGAGTTTCTATTGTTGAGCTGAAGTGTTTGAAATACCAACACGTACTCAATCCTGGCCCTTCTCAGCTTATTTAATAGGGAGGGGCTGTTTGGCCAGCACCAAAAAGCTATAAATGCCTCAGAGAGATGGATGCAGTTGCAGTCTCTTTAAAAGAGGCAATTCTCAGGCCATTTCTGAAGAAATCAAATGTGGTCCCAGACGATGAAAACAACTCCTATTCTGTGGGATCACCTTAAAGACTCAACATAACCTAACCCAAGCTAGGGGAAGTGGATTTCTGTTAGTTCTGCTAGACTTATCAACAACTTTGGATTCCATCAATGGTGGTATCCTTCTGGATAGATGGTTGGAGATAGGATGAGGGGGTCACTGTATTAGAGGCTTTCAATTCTATTTAAATGGCTGTTTCCTCATAGCATTTGAATTATGGAGTCCCTCAAGATTCTTTCGAGTTGAATGAGTGTTCTAAGTTAATGATTATACTGGTTGCTGTTTTAACTGTTTCTGTTGTTAGGCGTTGTGAATGCGCTAAGTTGGAATCTTAGAATATAAATCAAAATAATAAATAAATATAATATGTAACACAAGACATGGAACTGCCATCAGCAATTTTAAGAAATCAATGTGTGCTTAATTGAAAATTATGCTGTTTTACTCATATCAGATTTTGAAAACAATTATCACTATGCTTTAGAATAGGACACATTTAATGAAAATTGTTCTCAGAGTTGCCAACTTCTGCTTCTCAAATAAATCCTCACTTATATTTGTAGGAAGCTATTCCAAACAAAATTTTTGATTTATTGCTCACAATAAGTTATATATCAGTGTCATGTCTTGTTTTGTTTGAAAAAAAAGCATTTATTGCAGCTTGAAGAGCCTTAACTCTAGTTTCACTGCCTGAATATTGCATGTACGTACAAACAGCTCTTAAGTCAGGTGAAGGTTCACTTTATTTCTGTTTTTATTTCCCACATTGGCCAACAAAATGCCTCTGAGCTGTTCTCAAGCAGCAGACACACCCACCTCCCATCACTTTCCCAGCAACCAGTAATTGGAGGTATCTGCTAAGAATTAGCACTGTATCTTCAATAACAATAGCTCTGGCTAGACCTATTCTCCATGAATTTATCCAAAGCCCTTTTTAAAGCCATTTAAATCACCATGTAAAGGTAATTACATGGTAATCACCAAGTTTCCCCTTAATGAATTCCACAGGTTTGTTATGTGCTGTATGAATAACTTTCCTTCCCTGTCAATTCTAAAGCTTCTTTGAAGCAGCTTCATTAGATGGCTCTGTCCTTGCTCAGTTGTTATTTTTTGAGCTAAAGACAGCCAGACATTCTTGGTTTTTCTCATACGGATAATTTTGAACCCTTGATGATTTTAGTTACCCCCTTTTTTTGTATATTTTCCTATATCCTTTTTTTCCCAACTGTGGCAACCAGACTATATAAAGTACTTCAGATACAGACGTACAATTCATACTTGTATAAGGATATTACGGTGTTAATAATACAGTTTTATTGTTGATCTCTTTCTTAAGGAACCCCTAGCATGAAATTTGTTTTTTTCCCATAGCAGCCATATACAATGAGTTGATATCACCAGTGAACTATCTACTATAATTTGAAGACATTTTCTATGACGTTACAGATAGTCCAAACCTGTCCTGTGTCAGTAATTACAAGTACACTTTATTGGAGGGCAGGAATGTGAGAGGGAAGGAAAACAAACAAGCTGACTTTAGATGCTAAAGTTCCATACAGGTTAGGTCTGAGATTGGAAAGCTGTTTAACAACAGAAGTCAAAGCTCTTTTTTTATAGCTCTGATTGAGACATGCCTATTTTCTTGAGTCATGTCTTTTTCTGTGAGGGCCTCACTGAATGACTTTGTTCTTTGTTCCATTTGTATAAGGACTATGGATCACATCATCATCATCTCCTCCTCCTCCGCTTCAGAATTAGAAGCTGCTCCTTCAGCAAACTCAGATTCATCAAACAAGCCCACAGCAAGACTCCATTAGTATGTATGTAAAGTTAGAGGTTTTAGCCTCATGTATATGATTTCACATTTACTTGCATCTGCCATTTACCATACATCCAGCTTTTATCGTCCTGAATATATGTATTATTGGGGATGGGAAGTTTGCAGTCAGTCAAATGCTTAGGCTGGATTTGGCATTATTATTATTCATGTATTGAGTCCTTCCCAAGAACTTGGGATAAGCAAATGTGGTTGTTGGATGGTATTTCCTCAAGGAACATAAATGAGCTTTTCCAGAGGGAAAGCAGATGATAAGCAGGCTGAGTTATTATATATATATTATATATAACCTGTGTTATTATATTGTTGCAATAGTAGTTTTGGTGTTATATAATTTTATTGTTGTTGATCATAATAAGTCCATATGATGATATATAAACTAAATAAATCGGTCTAGGATTTGTAGCCAATTGATTGTAAATCTAGCTTTTTTAAAGCATAACTATTTAAGGTATCAAAAATGATTTCTTTATTATGAGAAGTTTAAATGTACCAACTCTGAGTCTCCCTTCTATGCTTCCCTGATTTCTTTTAACAGCTAAAGATCACCTTCTATATTTTTACCAGGTTTGCCAATGTAATACTTAAATCTTTATAACCTTTCCTGAAATATCTACAGATAGTCCTTCACTTACGATCACAAATCGGACTGGAACTTCCATTGCCAAGTGTGTGATCGTTAAATGAGTAATTCCCAATTTTATGACCTTTTTTACCACAGTCTCTAAGTGAATCTGGCTCCCCCCCATTGACTTTGCTAGTCAGAAGCTCGCTGGGGATGGTCGTAAATTGTGATCACATTGACCCCGGAATGCTATAACCATTGTAAATACATACTGGTTGCCAAGCACCTGAATTTTGATAATGTGACTCCAGGGACATTGTAATAATAATAAATGCAAGGACTGGTCAGAAGTCACTTTTTCCGCCACCATCACAACTTCTAATGCTCATTAAATGAATGGTTGCAACTCAAGGACTGTATACCTTTTTCAAAATTTAGCCTTCTCTTAGGCATCAATTTAAAACTGATCTATTGCTTTTTTGAAGTTATACGCCAGCAAACTGGCACCATTTTGGTTCAAGCAAAATCTGGGCTCAAATTAAATACTTCATATTGGATACACACACACACACACACACACACACACAAGCCTGTTTGTAAATTATTGACTATGTGCCATCAAGTCATTGTCAACACTTAGTGACCACATAGATCAGGCATGTCAAACTTGCGATGTCACGTGACGTCGCGCGACGTATTGGGACTTTTTCCCCATTGCCAGCAATGGGGTGGCCATGGTTTCGGCATGATGCATCCGGCCCGCGGGCCAGCAGCTTGACATGCCTGACATAGATTTACTTCATGATAACCTGTCATTAATCTGGTCTTTAAGGTCTTTTAATGGAGCACTCATCATCACTATAACTGAGTGTATACAAGGACCAAAGATTCAAACAACAAGGAGGGCTATTTTTAATGATTGTACTCTTTCTAGACTTCAAGTACTTGCTACTACATACACTACAGGCTGATGGAACAAAACCATTTTTTAATAAAAAGATCATTGTGGGACTTACTCTTTTTCTCACTTAATTTGCAAACTGAATTGGCTGTTCTTGTTTATCTCAAAACTTTTCTTTTAGGAGGAGACCATATAAATACAGCTGGGGTTATATATCCCATTACATTTGCTATGGTATGGAGTTTTGTATGACCCCCACCCAACTGTCTTGAAACAGGCCTGAAAACCCTCCTTCTCCCAGACATTGGATTAATCTGTGATTGGATTCCTTTAATCACAAGATGAAGTGAGTGCTTTTTGGACTTGCTCTCTCTGGGTGTGTACTGTTTTTTAAGATGATTATTTTTTCCTTTTCCCTTTTTACTTTAAAGCTGCCCAAGTAGATATTTGGAAGCCAAGAAATTGGATGAATGAATAAGGAGATAAACACTGTTATAGCTATAATCTTACATATACCCTATATGAATTAACTAAATTCTATGTTTACAATAATAATGACAAAAGCATATTTTCATAAAAATCATGTAGGAAATAAAACAGGCAAGCCAGCATTACTTTATTTCTGCAAGAAGGATATTCTGCCAATTTAAGTGTTCTGAAATGTGTGGGCAACACTGATTCTTTAAAATATATGCAAGATTAGAAATTTTGAACTGATGATAGCTGCTGTCAAATCTCATGTCAACACAATTGTTTTTCATATTCTGCTTTCCCATTCACAAACTTTAAGTTTGTAACTTAAAAATGATCCAATCACCTATCTGTATATTATACGTCAAGCAGCAGAAAGGAACTGACATTCTAAATCAGGCATGTCAAACTCGCGACGTCACGTGACGTCACGCGATGTATCGGAGCTTTTTCGCCATTGCCGGCAATGGGGTGGGCGCGGCTCTGGTATGATGAAACCGGCCTGCGGGCCGGCAGTTTGACACCCCTGTTCTAAATAAATAAATATCTGCAGAATCAGAAGAGAAACTAAGAATATTTTCCCACTGGAGATGAGGGTGGCTTCCATATACCTGGCTTTCCAGAAAAGACTTAAATCTGATTCAGCTGCCTGCCTGGTGCTGATAGGGGCACTCTAAACTAGATATGGTTGATGGGATAGAGATAATCCCCACATTGCCTATTATCTTGGTTTTTAGTTTTTTGTTTAATCTTTTTCATTTTAATTTTTTGATTTAATTTTTTTAACCTTTTTATCAGTTTTAACAGAACTTGCCTGTGTCTCTTAAGAATGATAACAAATGCAGACAAATAAAAATTCTTCCAGTCACATCAGCAAACTGTGTGCAACATTACAGGTTAATACTTACCACAACATTACAGAAGCAACATTACAGGTTAATACTTACCACATTGAAATTAAGATTCTTTTCTACCCACTCTTTGGCTTCTTTGAATTCTTCCTTCATTTCCATGATATACAGTGTATCTAAGGCATCAACGATAGTTGCTCCTTGAATATTACCTGAAAGAGAGTCAGCAATTTTATTGATAAGGTCCTTTTATTCTTCTTTGTGAAGAGAGAAGTTATAGCAATGTTCATGCGTAAATTTCTAGACCATTAGTTAACTGTTCTGGTCTATTAGTATAATTTGTATTGATACTATTAACAATAATAATGAGAACTAACAAAAATTGAAATAGAATGAAAAAAACAGAAAAAGAAAAAAAAGCTAAAAGTGCAGAAAGAAAAAATATAAAGATAAAAAGAAGCTTCTGATCTTCTTCATAGTAGTTATGTCTCTCTTCTTTCTATAATCTATCCTATTTGATATCAAAACCATAAATCATAGGTTCATTTTTTTATTTTTACACAAAAAGCCCACAATGGGTTTCCAGTTATCAATAAATATAGCTATTGTGTTTCCCTTAACCAAACATCAGTTTAAACATTTCAGCGAGTTATCCCAAAGGTGTTTTTTCAAAAAGAAAAAAACAGGAAAAAAACTTTTGAAAAAGCACCTTTGAGACAACTCTGACCTGGATGACTGAGAATCTCCACCGACATTTTGCAAGTTCTATTATTCCTCTGTTGTAGGTATTGCCAATATTTTCCATGCTTATGCCTTCAATAATCTCATATATAAAAATGAAGTTCCATGGCTCTTTTCTAATTGTTTAACCATCAGTTACAGGAAGAAAAGTTCTAGTTAATTTTGATTAAAAAATTCTATTACCTCATTTGTTTGTTAAATTATCAAAGCTTCTCAATGATTGATGATAAAACATTCAATGGTTGATAAAATACATCTAAAATACCTTTGTGGCAATACAGACACATTAAAATGTCTAGAAATGATGAGTATTATTTCTCTGGCAGTATTATCCAAGTTAATTGGGCTCCCACTGGCAACAATAACATTATGCAAATATCTTACACCAATACCTCAAAAATCAAGAATACTACACTGTTCCAGACCTGTTGTGTACGTGAAACTTTCAATTTCTCAATAATACATTAAATTTGAATAAGGGAAAAACTGAATGAGTTATCAAAGATTCAAGTAGAAAAGGTAAAGGTTTCCCCTGTCCAATTATGTTCAGCTCTAGGGGGTCGTGTTCATCTCTGTTTCTTAGCTGAGGGAACCAGCTTTGTCCAAAGACATTTCCACGGTCATGTGGCCAGCATGCCTATATGCTGAGGTGCATGGAATGCTGTTACCTTCCCACTGAAGTGGTACCTATTTATCTACTCATATTTGCATACTTTTAAACTGCTAGGTGGGTAGAGCTGGGGCATTAGCGGGAGCCCACCCCATCGCATAGCCCTTGGCTCCCAAATCTAGGTTGTCAGCTGAAAGCTCAGCATCTTTAACCACTGAGCCATTGCACCCTCTCTTCAAGTAGAAAGCATGACTAATATTTATGAGAAAACAGTTGTGTTGTTAGTTGAGCAATGATATATTAAAGTAGGAAGTAAATATTGAGATCAATGCATACTGAGCAAAGAGAATACTGCAATTCATGTAAAAACAAATGTAGGCTATTCGGTATATCATGCAATATTTTTTTTTATTTTTATGTTCTGTTTAAATCTTGCACATATTCATACAGAAGTAACTCTTACTGATCAATCCATATGCATTTTATTAATCTACCATTTATTCTGGGTATAAGCCCAGAGTTGCTTCATATCAAATTTGTTTTCCTATACTGTACTCAATAAAATAGTTTGTAACAATTTGGAGTGAAAACTGGGAAAATATCATCATGTAGTTATTTATTTTATTCACAAATATGCAATGCTTCTAAAAGACATGTTGGGAAGATAGATTCTGATTACTTCTGCTCTTCAAAAAACATCTTACATCATAGCTCAAACAAAGTAAAAAACAAAATTATCTACGAAACATATTTGCTACCTGAAAAAACTCTATTTAAAATGAACATAGAATAAAATTATTAAGCAAACAAAATTATTTGCTTTACCAATGAATCTTAGAATCTATCTAAGCTGCCAAAAGGAAATGTTACTGGATTTTAAGTAGTTTAAAGGTTATAAATACAAACTGCACTTTATGGCGCCAGTAAACAATTCAATTTACTGACCATTTCTTAATCATTTTTAAAAGCAGTGATAGTCTGCAAAGAACTAAATGTCATTTGACCTTTAACTGTATCATGCTGAGCAGAAATCACATCTTTTGGCCGAGTTCAGCTTTTTAAACAGATGCTATGTAAGTGACAATCTTTAATCATTCCTAACTCACAATATCTGTTGAATGCACAACTGCCTGTAAATCCTCCCCCCACATCCCCCCCAAAACCCATTGTATTCTGGAAGTAGAAAACTTGCATGTTCCTGACGCACTGAGATCAAAGTTGAAAGGACAGAGGGAAGAGACGAAACATAGAAGAAGGCACAGCTGAGCAGAGTGGAGAAATATTAGCTAGAAAGCTGACATCATTAGGGAGGATACTAAACATATGGAAAGACCAGAAGTGCTTATCTATGAAAGACATTTTTTATATTATACTGCCATATGTGGATAAAGAATTACAGGCTTTCTAATAGTAAAATGACAAGAGAAAGCTTATGCAGAGCAATATTATGTGCAAAAAAATCAGTACAGTACTGTACTTTTTATACCAAATGATTTTCAGACATTAGAAACTCACAGTCCTGAAAATAGAAATTTAATTATACTAGCTAATTGTTCATTACAATGATTGAACATTACACAAGATAAATTGAGTAACTGGAAAGGAACCAATATTAATGAAATCTATTTTTTTTCCAGGCACCTATTGCTAGGAAGCACATATGTATGCCAACAGCTGGCATGATAGATGAACATATTAATATTTAATGTCTTAATTTTAAGTATTTCCAGTCCTCCTTAGGCTGGATCTAGATCATACTTACTAGGTAATGAATTCCACTGCATTCTGTAAGACTTACTGTTAAATAAACATATATAAGATTTATATTATTAGGATCTAAAAAATATAGGTAACTACTAAAAATGTGAGGGAGGGTCATTCATGCAGTCTGGATCTCTTGAATGCAAAGGATGTTGATTTCTCAATAAATATTTACAAACATTTCAATTAAAGAAATTCTAAAAAGCTCCCAATTTGTTTGAGAAAGATATTTAAACCATATTACAGTAGTTTATTAGTTCCTTTGATCGGGACTGGATGATGATGGCTATTTTTTATAATGTTTCATTTTGTCTTTTTTACTGGGATTGGACTTTGGAGAGAGGAAAGGGGGATTTGTTTAAATGGAAATAGATATAAATGTAAATGGGAGGATTCAAACTGGGTGTAATAAATATAGTTCATAATACTTGCGTTCTTACTTTCACTGGACTTTTTTTGACTAATACGGAGAGATGAAAATCTAGAGATGGACTTATAGAGTCCACATGAATGGTTGTATTTTAACAGATAGTAATACATTGTTAAGGTTGATTATGCTTGCTGGAGGTGAAGGGAGAAGTAACTTATTCCATCTTTCTTTTTTATCTGCACTTTTTCAAATTTGCAATTCTTTAAATGTATTTCTGCAGAATGCAATCTTCATTTAAAATTATTTAAAAAACCAAATGTATTGTGGAACCACAAAATACAATGATTTAATGTTATTTTATTACACTTAGTAGCTATATAGCACTGGTTGCATATGCCACTATTTAGCAAAAGAAAAATCAAGGACTCGGCAGTTTCATGGATAAAATAATCACATTTGGAAGCAATTATTTTGAAGAGCTGAAGCCAAGTAAAGTAGGCTGAGCTGCTACTTGGAATACTGGTATAAGGCGGCTTCCTCTATTTCTACAAATTAAGAAGAAAGCAAGAGCACTATTTTCCACTGTATTTTTCTATAATGTTATACTCTGTGTCCACTTTCAACCTTCTCCTCTTAAATCTCAACATACCCATCTCAAGATATGGGAAGTGGGACTCTGAAAATGAGCACTTCACTCTAAGATTTTATTCCAATTCTAAATTCTATGTTAATCCCACACCAATAAAAGAATAATAATTTTATCTTCATTAGAGTACAGCTGGGGAGAGCTCTTCTTCCACTCCTCTTTATTCTTTCTTAATTTAGTTCACAGAGTTCTACTCTCTCTGGAAAACATGCAAGCAGATATATCTAGGGCAGAGGTAGGCAACCTTGGCTCTTTTATGACTCATGGACTTCAACTCCCAGAATTCCTGAGCCAGCAGGAATTCTGGGAGTTGAAGTCCATGAGTCATAAAAGAGCCAAGGTTGCCTACCCCTGATCTAGGGGCAGCTACTTCAAAGTCTTTCAGCTCCTCTCTAGGCTACCCCCAGAGTTAAGTTCACACCCAAGTGTCTTGGTTGCTGCTAGATTTGATGACTACTGTAAGTTAGCTGGCTGTGTTTTCACACTGCTCTTATCAGAATGTCCTGAAGGAGAGTGCCTGCAGGACACTCCATGAAAACCCAACTGTTGAAATGCTGGTGGCTTTGAAAAAATGTCTGAGGAGTTGCCTTTTTTAGTGCCTTTTATCCTGACACTTATTCAATGACAATTATTTGTTTTGCATTTAATGATTAGTCATCTTGAAAGGCGGGGTGTCCTGATGATAAACTGATAACATACAAAGCATTTCTGGTCCAGCATTATGTAAACTTTAGGTTTCCATTCCTTTTACTAACTCAGTTATCTTTTTAAAATTTTACACACCCAAATAACTAAGAATTTTAGTCTGATTATCTACTTGTTAAATATTGCAGCAAAGTACACTGTGCAACAAAGTTTACTGCCTAGCTAATATTTTGGCAGCATTTTCTGGATAAAGAAGAAAGAATTAGCCAGATCAATGCAGGTTAGTTAATTCGATCAACTGGTGAGTAACACTATTAGGAAATGTTCGGTAACATTCAACTGGAATTTCCCTGTTTGTTAAATTGAGACCATTGTTCTGTGTCCCATAAATTGGGGTGATAGAGAAGTTACCTAACAGTAAGAGTTGTTTGAAAATAAA